TTAAAAAAAATTGAATACAGTGGGGTATGCTATAATGAACGGATCCTACTACGAATATTCCTATAATGAACGGTTTTACCTATAAAATGAGAATACTATCACGAACGCAACTCCTACAACGAACGCGGATGAATACCGGACTATTTCGCCTGGCGCATGAATATTGTTGTACCGCGACCCACAACAAGATCGTCAGGCGCCATCTTTGTCTCATTGTGTAGCCAGTGCACCACTGTTATTGTTGAAATTTCGTCTTTTGATGTGGAAATAGAGTTATTTGTATATATATTTTGTTATACAAGTGTATAATTGTAACAATGAATCATCCAAAGCAAGTGAGAAAGCTCATAACTCTTGAAACTAAGAAAGAAATCATAAAGAAACGTGAGAATGGAACAAGCATTGCAAAACTTAGTAATGAGTATGGGATGGCTAAGTCGACTATATGTACAATTTTGAAGAATAAAGAGGAGTTGAAAACTGTGCAAGTGGCTAAGGGAATCTCTAGACTTAGCAAAGCAAGGTGTAATGTGATTGAGGAGATGGAAAATTTACTCTTAGTGTGGATAAAGGAGAAAGAAATGGCAGGTGATAGCATTAGTGAAGCTATAATTTGTGAGAAGGCCAGACAATTGTTTGAGGACCTTAAAGCCAAGACTCCCAGTGGAAGTGATAGTGATGTGCCAGTGTTTAGGGGTACCAAGGGGTGGTTTACTGGTTTCAGAAGGAGAAACAAGTTACATAGTGTTGAGACACGGTGATGCTGCTAGTGCAGATAAGGATGCTGCTAAGGAACACCATGACATTTTTTTGAATGTGATTCAAGAGGGAGGCTTTGTTTCTCAGCAGGTATTCAACTGTGATGAAACTGGACTTTTTTGGAAAAAAATGCCTCGCCGTACATACATTACCAGGGAGGAAACTTCTGTCCCTGGCCACATGCCAATGAAAGATGGGCTTACCCTCCTTCTTTGTGCTAATGCTTCTGGTGACTGCAAAATAAAGCCACTCCTTGTGTACCATGCAGAAAACCCCAGAGCTTTCAAAAACATTAGGAAGACCCGCCTTGGTGTTATGTGACGGTCAAACCCAAAGGCTTGGGTGACCAGGAGTTTATTCTCTGAGTGGGTAATTGAGGTGTTTGGACCCAGTGTTCGGGAATACCTCAGGGAGAATAATCTTCCACTGAAAGCTTTGTTGGTGATGGACAATGCACCAGCCCACCCTCCTAAATTGATGGTTGAATTGCCAGAGGAGTTCAACTTCATCACTGCACTTCTTGCCACCCAACACAACACCTCTCATCCATCCCATGGATCAACAAGTAATTTCTAACTTTAAGAAGCTGTACACAAAGGCACTGTTCAGAAAATGTTTTGCGTCCACTTCTTCCAGTGATGTTAGTAAGGAATTTTGGAAGAATCACTTCAATATCGCAGACGCTGTGTTTTTAATTGCGTCAGCCTGGAAAGAGGTTACTATGAGGTGTCTTTGTGCTGCTTGGAGGCCATTGTGGCCTGAATGTGTGCTTCAAAGAGACTTTGAAGGCTTCGAAAAGTTAGAGGAAGAGGCTGTTGTACATGAAATTGTGTCTCTGGGCAATTCCATGGGCCTGGAAGTGGATGATGATGATGATGTTGAGTTGGTGGAAGAGCACAGTAAGAAGCTGTCCACTGAGCTGCTGCTTGAGCTTCACAAAGAAGAGAATGAGACACTGAAGTGGAGCTTGACTTCTGAGGAGTCAGGGGAGGATGAGGACAAGGAGGAAAGCCACATCATTCCACCCAAAGATCTCAAGGATGTGTTCTTTTGCTGGAGCAAACTGCCTAAGTTTGCTGAGGATTATCATCCTGATGTTGGTTCTGTGCAAAAGGCCATCAGTGTGTTTAATGACAATGTGATGAACTACTTTTGGAAGGTCCAGAAATCAAGGTTGAAGCAGCCAACCCTGGATTCCTTCTTTAAAAAAGTAGCAAAAGAACCAACAGACAAAGTGCCTGTAAGACAGTCACCAAAGAGGGCTAGGAAGGATGACTCCTCTCCTTCCACCTCTTCTCCATAATTCTCTCCTCCCCCTCTGCCTCCTGTCCTGCATGCTGAACAACACTAAGGTAAGATAAAGTACCGTATTTTTTACATTTTCCACAGAAAATTTTCAGTGTTAAGTGGTTGTATTTGGGGGCCTGGAACGGATTAATCCTATAACGAACGAGGTTCTAGAACCAATTAGATTCGTTATAGCATACCCCACTAGTGGGGTATGCTATAACAAATCTAATTTCTAATTGGTTCTAGAACCTCGTTCGTTATAGCATTCGTTCATTATAGGATTAATCCGTTCCAGGCCCCCAAATACAACCACTTAACACGGAATATTTTCTGTGGAAATTGTAAAAAATACGGTACTTTATCTTACCTTAGTGTTGCTCAACATGCAGGACACCTTGCTTTGCTAGGTCTAGAGATTCCCTTAGCCACTTGCACACTTTTTAACTACTATTTATTCTTCAAAATCGTACATATAGTCGATTTAGCCATCCCATATTCATCACTAAGTTTCGCAATGCTTGTTCCACTCTCAAGTTTATTTATAATTATTCTTAGTTTCAAGGGTTATTAGTTTTCTCACTCGCTTTTGACGATTCATTGTTACAATTGTATACTTGTATAACGAAATAGTTATAAAAATAACACAAATTTCCACATCAAAAGACGAAATTTTAACAAGTTCAGTGGTGCACTGACTACACAATGAACCAATATGGCGCCTAATGCTCTTGCTGTGAGGCGCGGTACAACGATATTCATGCGCAGGACGAAATAGTCCCGTATTCATCTGCGTTCGGTGTAGGAGTTTCGTTCGTTCTAGCATTCTCAATTTTATAGGTAAAACCATTCGTTATAGGAATATTTGTAGTAGAATCCGTTCGTTAAAGCTTCCGGGATTTAGTTATTATTTATATGAAAATGTAATTTTTTTTTATTTATTATATTTTGGTCGTAAATACGAATGCAATAAGGACGTAAATTGAATTGGGTTGTTGGTCGAACCGTTGTTATCGGAGGCTTTACTGTACTGTACAAGCAAAATGTGAATGGAAATCGAGATGTTACAAAACATTTTCCTACTTTTTCAACTTCTACTAAAAAAAAGTGGCTTAAGTTTCAAGAATTTTAATTTTTTTGTGGTTTCATACAATTTTTCAAACAAATATATATTTTTTTCAAAGATTTTTCGGTAAAAACCTCCGAGGCTTAGGATAAGTTTTCAAGCACTTATGTGTCTCGAGCTCTGGGGTGTAGAGGGTTAATCACGATGACCCATTAACCATAAGAGGCCAATCATATGAAAATATAATACTGAATCAATAAATAAATAAACCTGATGAATGCGGTAACACCTGATCAGCCTGCTTACATATTATAATCAGTGTCTTAGTTCTTAGTAGGCCTATAGCAAATCTGATTAGACCCAGTCTCTATTTCAATTAATCCCATATGTTCTGTTATTTCATTTACGCCTTTCTCGTTTTACACGGGCCTCCACGGGTTCAATTGACCGCGTAATTGAAGACCCAACTGTACCCTATTTCTGGGCTGTCACCACCAAGAAGGACTATAAAAAGTAAACAAATTTAAACAGTTTACTGAAAAATATTTAAGCATACAAAGTAATACAAAAGGGAAAAATAACACTTTTGTTACAATAAACAATATTATGTTAGCAGATAAACATTTAAACTAAACACTTAATTAATATTACCTTGTCCCATACCCACATTACTAACAACACACATGGTAGAGGAGATACTGGATATATTTTCTTCCCTCATTACGTATCCAGCCTTCTTTCACTCTAGGGGAATATAGTTCCAACAGTCTTTCACTAAGGACACACACAGCAGTGGGATGCCACGCTAAATATCACAGCCAAATCCAAGAGAGGAACAGCCAACCTTGGCGAGCAGTAGTTAGTGGCCAACTGTCTTCACGCCGCACTCCCAGCTTCCCACCACACTTTGGAAGCGTCAACAGGGAGGATTCGGAGAGAGTTGAACCAGGGTTGTTCGCAGTCTCTGATTCGAGAATTGGATAGAGGGGCAAACGACTCCTTGGGTCATAACACAGTTACTGTACTGTACTTAGAAATGTTTAAATTTTGATTGGGGCAGATAACAGAAAAGAACCTTTTCCTTGTCCCCCCAGGAGAAGTTGTCTCTCATAATTCCATAATTCCTAAAATCTCATATCTCGTAAGAGCTAGAGCCCTAATTATTTCGAATTATGGTGATTTTACTGTAACCGCAAATTTAATAATGTGAATTTGTATTTTGCAAATTATTGCGACACCATTGTAGGGTGGTCGTCCAATTAAAGTGAACCAGTTTCAGGTTGGCAACACTGGGTTGGGGTTTGAGCGGGAGGAGGAAGCGGGGTGGCAGTTGGTGGTGCAGGTCCTTGGATTCAGTGCACTATGATCGTTGGTCGGTGCTGCAGCGTGTGTTTGCCGTGGAATAGGTTCTTCCCAGGACGCATCATTTCCCGGTTTGGTTACATTCTGTGGCCTCCACGGTCTTCAGATTTGACAGCTACAAATTTCTTCTTATGGGGGTATCTGTAAGAGTAGGTGTATTCTCATCGATTCCACAATATTGATGACCTGAGGGCCAGAATTTGCCAGGAGGTTGATGCCATTTCTCCAGATGTGCTCCGTAGTCTTGCACATCTTATGCCAACGACTGCACAGTGTATTGCAAAGACGGGTGGACATTTGGATGACATAACTTTCAAACATTAATAACTATTGTTTCTAAAGGTTTTCAGAAACTTGCAAACTACTTAAAGAATTTGTCCATTTCATGAATTTTTATTTAATTTTCAACATGTTTCACTTTAATTGGACCACCCTGAATATTAGATATTTTTAAATTATAAATAAAAATTTTATGCTACTTGAAGCCACATTTTGTTAGTAAAATTAATGCACCATGTTGTTTCAGGGCCATTGACTTTGACAGTATTGATAATCGGCTGTATTGGACAGACATTTCTGTGAAGTCTATTTCTCGTGCCTTCATGAATGGGTCCCAAATGGAACCTGTGATAGAGTTTGGACTTGCGTATCCAGAGGGTATGGCTGTGGACTGGTTGGCCCGCAACATATACTGGGCAGACATGGGAAACAGCAGGTATGTTTTGAAGTAACATTTTAGCTTTTAAAAGTCTAATTTCTATAATTGAAATATATTATTCTTGTTAGTCAATTACTTCTTTCTGGTTAACTAGAATCATCATGGATTTTTTTTTTTTTTTCAATAAATTTATATGATTTTATTTGTATAAAGACACTGATTTCTAAAATAATTTCACACTAAGTAGGTGTAAACCACAATTCCCACCAGTGTTAAAGAAACGAATGTAACCACTTCAAGAAAGTGAAAAATACTTAGATACATAACAGTTCTGTATGATTTCTTCATAGTTCCCTCCTTGTCTACTATGGTATTATATGCTGGTAATATATATGTACAGTAAAGCTTCGAATAACGATTGTAATGTGTCCTCCAATATTGCAGTGTAAGGTGAATCATCGTATCATGAATCATTAATTACCATTAAAATAAAGCAATAATAATGAGATGCGTTCCAATGTCTGACATTTTCATATCTTTTGTGTGGTTTTTACCCTCTTTTCCCCCAAGACAATAAAATTTATGAAGAATGCAAACTATATTCTTCAAATAATGTTTATGAATGCACCTTATACAATATAAATCAATAATAATATGGTCACACAAGAGGAGATGGGACGCCATTGTTTTCGTTAGTGTTTACACCCGTGACAATGGTTCTACATAATAAACTGAAGAAAATAAGACCTTGGTTGTAGCTGTAGTAAAATTAATGTAAAAAAAAAATATATGTTTTAAGTGGATCAATAGAAGTAGCAAACCACTAATGGCAAAGAAAAAAGCGAGATGGTTTGGGAACGCCAACGTATGTAAGTAAGGAAACAGTGTCATTTATTTTATTAAGAATATGAACAAAAGGTTCATTTTTGTTTATTACTGAATATGTATTTGATTTAATTAATGCTTATATATGTGAAATGAACAATACAATTCATTAATAATACATAGAATACAGTTAACCCTCACTTTACGCAGTTAATGTAACCCGCAGGGTCCCGCGTAAAGTGAGAAACGCGTAAAGTGAATAACATAACATATGGGATTAATTGAAATAGAGTCCGGGCCGACCCCCAAACTCCACTTTTTGACGATACACAACTATGTTGTAAAAATTTTATCTTAACTTTATGATGGTATGAAAAAACAAGCAATATAGAAGAGGTGGGATTAGGAAAAATAAAGGTTAGGTTAGAAAAACTAAAAGTTAGGTGGAACACTTACGGTAGTAGAAGAGATGGGTCGGCATACGGGGATGGAGGCTGGTTCCGAGGCAGAGGGCAGATTACTGGCCCTCAGGTGAATCACCATTACTAGGTGAATCACCATCACTGTCACTTACAGTTGTCAGGGCTTCCCTGACAAATCATTCAGTCATCTTCACTATCACTGGCTTGGGCTGGCTGTGGTGGGTTGCTGGCGAAGAACTCGGTTATGCTTTTTTGACGGCTGGTGTTTATGTTGTCTTGGTACACCGTGATGTACGGCTCCATAGCCTGCACCAGCCGGGTATGGAAGACTTCATAGCGGTCATCGTCATTGTCGCGGGAAAGGAAGGACTTCATTTTCTCTGCACACTCCATGGCACCCTTAATATCACTGAGTTAAACTGTGTTCTTCGGAGAATGACGCACCTTCTTCCTCCTCTTCACTGACGTGATCTTCTTCCAACATCTCGTCGGCAGTCACTTCAGGATCTCTGATCACCTCCAGGATGTCGTCGTTGGTGGTCTCGGAGAAGCCTGGAACTGTAGCAGTCTGCGCAGCTTCTCTGGCAAGGTCCACTGCTACTGCAACATTCTGAACCTCACCAGTCACAGATTGACTCCTCCTCTCACCTGGTATTCCATGCAACACATGTCTCCATGCGTGACGAATTGTAGCAATAGACAGCTGATCCCATGACTCCACCAAGAAGTCCACAGCTTTCTTGATGTTAAATACTCTCCAGAATTGTTTGAACATTATTTTTTGCTGTGCCAACTGTTGATCCTCATCTTCTTCGCTCTTGCTATCGGTGGTGGTGTCACTCAGGTTACGCAACTCTTCCCTGGTGTTGGTGTAGTCGTTCAGGAGTTTGAATTTTTTTGTTGAGAATGCAGCTTTTACATTACAGATTAACTCTTGGTCCATGGGCTGTAATATAGACGTAGTGTTGGGAGGAAGGAAGACCACTTTTACGTTGGGGTGACGATCTAACAATAGGGGCGAGTGTCCTGGTGCGTTGTCCAGCAGCAACAAAATATTGAATGGCACATTCTGTCGCTCACAGAATTTCTTTACATCGGGAACAAAACAGTCATCAAACCAGGAGAGGGACAGTGTAGAGAACATCCACGCCTTACGTGCGGTCAGCCAGTGGACATTTAGCTTGGTCATGTCCATGGTTTTGTAGGCGTGCGGCTTGCGTGCTGTGTGGATCACCGATAACTTGAGCTTACAGGTACCGGAGGCATTGGTGGTAAACAGGACGGTGAAGCGTTCCTTCTACATCTTCCGGCCCCGAATCCTGCTGGCATTCTTTACAACGAAGGACTTGGAAGGTAGCTTTTTCCAGAAAAGACCAGATTCGTCCATGTTAAACACCTGGTCGTCACTGTACTGTCCTTCCTCCATAATCTCACGTAAAAACGGAGGAAATTCCCTAGCCGCAGCACGGTCAGCACTCGCTTCTTCACCACCAATGTTTATATTGGTGATCTTGTTCCGGATCTTAAACCTCTGTAACCACCCAGAGGAAGCATTAAAGGGTTTGGGCTCTGTAATTCCCATCTTTCGTGCCACTGCCATGTACAGTTCACGTGCGTAGTCCTTAACAGAGCGCGTGTCGACCGCCATGTTCCGTCGCGCCTGACGCACCAAGTACCTCACAAGTAATTTTTCTGTCTTGAGAAGCACCTGGTTGTGAAAATACTTGATCATAGAAGCACCTGTAGACTTTGTGATCTTCATGTGCTCCTTTATCTTGGCTGCATCCTTCTTTATTGTTCGAATCGTAGATTCATTCACACCATGCTGGAGCGCCAAATCAACCTGCCTTGTTCCTTTCTCCAACTCTTGGATGATGGTATACTTCACCTCGTAGCTTAAGGAACGTCGTGTCTTCTTTGGCTTAGTGCCGCTGGGTCCAGGTAAGGAAAGGTTTCTCTCTGGGGGTGGTGGTCCGGCGGAAGCCATTTTACGGAACAATGGATGCACGATTACACGGTGTGGCCTTGAGGGATGAAACTGCCGCGGCTAGGTCAAGCGTTGTCTTTCCTCCCTCCCTCCCTCCCCCGGGTGGACACGTCATAATACTTTAAGCCAATTACAGCTAGCAGCAGAGGGGGGTAGGGATGCATGGCCAATCACAGTCCGATACGTCATATGACGTCAGTGATAACGCAACAAAGACACACACTGCGCAACCTTACCGCGCGGCTTGCCCAAGCGGAGGGAGGAGGAGGGAGAGGCGAGGAGCACAGGCAGGCAGGCGGGCGGGTGGCGGGTGGGGCGAATCTAAAAATAGCGTCGCACCGGACACACTCCGCGTAATGGGGTTCACGTACCGCGTAATGTGAGCACGTTAGGTTTTGGCAAGGCAACGTGGAAACGCGGAATGCGGGACCGCGTAAAGTGAGGGTTAACTGTATTAAAACACGCAAGAGGAGACGAGACAATTGTTTTCGTTGGTGTTTACACCCTTGGACGATGGTTCTGCAAGAAACTGAAGAAAATAAGACCCTGGTTGTCGCTGTAGTAAATTTAATGTAAAAAAAATGAATATATACATTCTTAGTAACATTATATAATGTTAATAAATGGAACAATAGAAGTAGCTAACCACTGATGGTAAAGAAAAAATAAGACTTTGAGAACGCCAACGTATATATTTGCGTATATGTGAAAACATATCGTCGTTTCTCTACACATGAATATGAAAGCAACACTTATTTACTGTTCATTTATGTTTTAAATAAGTTTTACGAATGTAAAGCAAAAATTCCACTCGCCAATAGTGGTAAAGTCTAAAACATAAGGACAGCCAATGATGATGTGTGAGGTTTTACTAAGATGACAGTCATCAGGTTCAACTCTGCTGAAGCTGTAGCTTTCCATAAAGATGATATAGCTGTTGCTGAAACTGATACTGAACCTGAAGTTGTTGCTGAAGCTGTTTATGATGCTGAATTTGATGGTGTAGCTGAAGTTGATGGTTTAGGCCTTTGAACAATAAAGCTGTCGAAAGAACCTTTCACAGCTGCTTTCTTTTTTCACTATACATCTTTATGTAGAGGTCATTTGCATTTTCACGTCCCTGTTCATTTTAATGCTTCATTCTGTTCATGGATCTACTTCAGAAAATATGTTCATTGCTTGTTCCATATAATATCCACAGACCTCTCACCTTTTTCACATCGTTTTAACACATCTAGTTTCTCAACGAAGCTTATCCACTTTCTTTTAGGTTTTTATCCAGCACTACCATCACTTGCTCTCTTGATCATGTTGAATAGGAATGCAAAAATGCTGTAAGAAACCTGAGAAACTTTTTCTCCTTTCCCTGTGACTGTTTATACTAGAGATACTGGCGTCACCACTTGCAAGACCGGCAGCCTCTGTGCACAAGGCGTGTTTTTTTTTATTTGTTTAATGTATATCGAGATTTAGTTATTATTTATATGAAAATATAATTTTATTTATTTTTATTCTATTTTCTTCGTAAATATGAAGAAAATAATGGTTTAAATTGGATTGGGTCCTAAATTAACCAGGGTCTTAAATATGAATCGTCATTAGTAGAACCGTCGTTATCGGAGGCTTTCCTGTAGTCTTGGGACAAATCTGAAAAAGTGCCAAATCGACCCCTTTACTTGGGAGACGATTACTCCACACCACAACGCTTGGAGGAGCACCACACAAGAAGGTGTCCATACTTTTGAGTTAGCCTGACTGCAAACCGAGGCAGACAAGCTCGAATGCTGGAAGCATACTGCCGCTGCCCCTCCCACACTAGATGGAGTCAGCCTCATGTGCAACATTTGTGAACGACCCTGCTGGTCCCATATCAGCCTCTTTAGTCACCTTAAAACTCACCACATAGGTGACATCCTTAATAACTCATTTCATTGTCTCATAGCTGGATGATCATCATACTCGATTCTGAGTGACAGCAAAGTAGTATTAGGTGTGTGTGTGTAATAATAATAATAATAATAATAATAATAATAATAATAATAATAATAATAATTATTAATGGTTTATTGAAAAAGTTCTGCAGCCCGAAGGCTGAAAATATACATTGGACATACATGACTTATTACATACTGTACATTGACATTGGTGGTTAAACAAAATCCTTCATTAATGAAAGGTAAAAACATACAGTGAACAAACAGATTAATGTTTACAGTGGAGGTCACGTAGATCATGTGCACTGAGGTGTTGAACAGCAGACACGTAGTGTAGTAACTCAGTCACAGATGGTGTTATGAGGGGCATCACGTGGTGTAGTAACTCAGTCACAGATGGTGTTATGAGGGGCATCACGTGGTGTAGTAACTCAGTCACAGATGGTGTTATGAGGGACATCACGTGGTGTAGTAACTCAGTCACAGATGGTGTTATGAGGGACATCACGTGGTGTAGTAATTCCCTCTCAGATGGTGTTATGAGGGGCATCACATGGTGTAGTAATTCCCTCACAGATGGTGTTATGAGGGGCATCACATGATGCTGTAGCAACTCATTCACTATGTGGTGTCATGGGTACACCATGTGGCCTGGTGTCCCGGGCCTCCCTATCGTGGATGGATTAACACATAGCTGGTGTTGTTAAGTCTCATGGCCAGTTATCACTGGGTACCTGAGACCTCACTGTGTGAAGGTTAGCTTGGGTACATCTCAACTGTTACTGTTGAGTTGTTTTTCACTGATTTAAGCTGTTTAACACTGGTTCCATTCCTTTCCTGAATGAAATAGTAGCTTCTGGCGAGAACTTGCTGATATTCCGGTGGGGAGGAGAGGTTCAGGGAAGGGAGTTGGTATGGGCCAACTTAACAGTTGACCTGGCTGCTGCCAGAGCAGCGCCAGGTACGTCTTGACCCTTCGGTGGTCAAACATGAAGTGTGTGTGTGTGAATTTTAATGAAGGTTTGGATTTCTTCCAATGTTGACACAGAATTATAATTCCAGGATTGAAGTTGCAAGATTAGATGGGACATCCAGACGAGTCCTCTTGTGGCAGAACATCGCCAGCCCAAAATCACTAGCTCTAGATCCTGGTCAGGGCTTCATGTACTGGTAAGAATCAAAAGTTTGTGATACTACAACTCATTCCTTCACGAATTTCATTTTCATAGGAAGGCATCTTGGTAAAAGGAAGTGCCTGGTAGTAAATGTGAAGTCCAGAGTATAAAAACTATAATCACCCATTCACTCAGGTTTCAACTTAGTTTTTATCTGAATCTTTGGAAATGAAGGTAAAAGCTATGGGTGATCATACATATTTTGAATCCCCATGAACTAAGGTTACCAAATTTCTCAGAGTTTAAGGTGAGACATCTCATGAATAATAGTAATATCTCCGTCAGTTGGAATCCCTCAAACCCAAAAATCTCTTATAGCCGGAATTGAAATTTGCTTGGAAAATCATTCCCAAAGCCGGAATTTTCCCAAAAATTACATCTTTGGGAACAAATCTTCCAAGGTTGAAAATCAAGAGAAATTTCTGAAAATGTCTAGAATAAAGATGAAAGTTAAAGTATTTTTGGGGGGACCTGTCCTGACTCTATGTCAGGTGGAGGTAGGGTGGGGGATTAGTGGTCTCATATTACTGACCTTTTGATGGAATGTCAGGTCATCTTTTCTTGGCTGGGGGATTAGTGGGTCTCATGACCTGAAGATGTCTTGAATAAACACAAAAGCTAAAGTATTTTTAGGGAGATTGTGATAAGTATAAGTATAAATGAGCAAAGTTGTATCCCTTCAACATTACATTACATAACATTTTAAAATATGGAGTGAGAAAGCAGAAAGGTGTGGGTGATTACCGTATATCACGGCCTATAAGGCGGCGGGGTGCATAAGACGCCCCCCCCAAATTTCCATTTAAAAAGTAGCTTTTGAGCTCTATTTGCTGTATAAGACCAGTACCCCAAATGTGACACTTACCCACTGACTCAGTAGTCCTTTACCAACCATCCTTGATTTTTTAAAATAAGGCCAATTCACTTCAAGTAATGTCATCAAATTATACCCGCTGGTGTAGTGTAAACACTAGTGACGTCACTGAAGCGTGGTGGGAGTGTTCCCTCGTCTCGGTGGTGTGACTATTTATACAACATGTGGTTCAACAGCAACCACCGTATTCTAATTGTGGTGTTTCATTAGGATTTGAGTGAAAAAGGTTACCAGTATGTACTTACTACATACATTTATTACACATATATATATATATATATATATATATATATATATATATATATATATATATATATATATATATATATATATATATATATATATATATATATATATATATATATACTGAATATACTATGTACAAAAAATGAATGTTCAATGAATTATTTATGGTGCATTAGGGTACTGGTCACTTCTGATGGGCTATAAATAGCCTTCTTTATCTCCCCTACATCTCACCCTGAGCCAGACGGAAGGGTCTTGGTAAATAACATGTTTGCTTATTTTCCATTTACTTTAAATAGATTTACCGAATTATTTGTTTTATTTATTTATTTATAATATACTGTAATATATTAAACACACTGTAATTATTTTCTTTAATTTATAAACTGTTTTGCGACAAAGGAATGTTCTCCAGTAGTGTTTCATTAGGATTTGAGTGAAAAAATATTACGTACTTACACAATTGTTCCTCTTACTTTGACAACACAACATACATACAGTATATTATTTCTCAGTTTTGATCTTTTTTTTTAATTTTTGTATTTATTTATAGTTAGTTACTTAAAATAAGGCCAATTCACTTCAAGTAATGGCATCAAATATTACCAGCTGGTGTAGTGTAAACACTAGTGACGTCACTTGAGCGTCTGTAATTAACCGTCGATAGTTTCAAGAATTAATGCACTCATTTACTGAATATTCTTTGGAAAAAAATAAAATTTAAATCAATTATTTATAGGAGATAAATATTATTATGAGTAAATATACCGATACCGGTATGCATTACTGACCACCTCCACGGCTCCTCACTGGCAAATGGGGAGGGGTGTGTGATGATAGCTGTGTTTATTATAGGGGTATAAATCTCTTTTACGGTATGTTAGACAGGTTTATAATACATTTTTATTATTTTAATATACCGGTAATCTTAATTTGAATCCAGCTTGCCAAACGTAAGTTTCAGTATAAAATAATTAGTGGTAAGACCTTGTGAGTGGCTTACGATGTTTTCATCACCACTCTTGACACACTAAACCACAATATTTAAGAGGTAAGAATTTTAAACTTGGTGGTTTAGACGACCCCCTAACTTTGGGCAGATTTTTTTAATGTTCAAATTTCGTCTTATAGGCCGTGATATACGGTAGAGAGATGGAGTGGTAACATGCACCAGCGTTGCCAAGCGATAAGCTCCTCAACAGCTGATCTTTTAATTCACCCCCATGCAGTCACACAACAAGACCCTCACTGGATGCTTTTTGTTTTAATTCCCGTGTGTGTCTGTGTGTGAGTGTCTGTGTGTCTGTACTCAAATGTACTAAGTTAATTATTAAAATTATTATGTCTGGTGCAAAGTAAGAGATGTTTAAGGGAAAACTAAGCTCCCTCTTTTATAATCCTTGAGCAAGTTAATCTCCCCTCCTGGGAGAAGGATCCGTTGGGGGGTAGAAATGACGACCCCCCTCCCATTGTGTCTACTGTACTGTTTATTTGTTTTTCAATAATTAGTACAGATACATTACTGTAATAATCTGTGCTTATTAATACCTGTACAATTCGGTACAGTACTATGTACAGTATATACCTCAGGTAAAAAATGTCAATCAAAACATCCTCAGGTCAAAGACCCACTAATTCCCCTCTGTGTGTGCGTGCGTGTGCTCAAATGTACTAAGTTAATTACTAAAATTATTAATCTTATTGGAAACGTTTGGTGGAGAATTTAATAAGGATCATTATGGTTTCAAATTCATCTCCCCATCACAATTAGCCACACCTGAGTGAGGAAGGGGGGGGGGGGACTGACCACGTGACCCTACCCTCTACCACACACCCAGCACATCTGCATGTCTGTGACGGCTTGGTCCCTACTACTGTACATACACTACATAACATTAAATAAAAGCTACATACAGTATTTTGTGCATTAATTTAGCTATATCTACAACCATCGTTATTCGAGACTTTAATGTGCACCAAAATCAATACCCACTCATTTTATCCCAAACTATGCAACCAGGAGTGAACTCGTAACTGGTTTTAAATTAGACAAATTTAGATTTAGGCTCAAAATAGGTAAACATTGGTTTGGAAATAGAGTAGTGGATAAGTGGAACAAGTTACCAAACATCATCATTAACTCGAATACACTGGATAGCTTCAAACATAAGTTGGATGGGTATATGATCGTTAGGGGTTGGGTGTAAGTAGGACTGCCCAGAATGGGCCAATAGACCCGCTGCAGTTTCCTCCATTCTTATGTTCTTATGTTCTTGAATATTAATGGATAATTGCTTTGGAAAAATCCCTAAATGGCAACTGGAAGCTGACGAGAGAATCAGTCCTGTCCATATGGTATTCTGAGATACCGACTGCACCCCTCCTTCAACAAGAGATCACTACGCATATGTGTATATGTAGGTTCATGAAACACAAGTCAACTTGTGGCATGATGGATGACTCATTAATGAGTAATACAGGTTGACAATCTTTTATCCGGCTTATCGAAAAGCTCTGAAAACCGAAAGTTTTTTCGCGTTGCATCACTGTGTGAAATCGAACATGACTTGGACCTGACACTACCGAGCGCTTGACCCACGCTGGGCAGCGGGTGTGAGTGAGGCGTCACTTGTGTCTCGGTGTTGCTACTAGTCACACATTTGTCTGCTGTTCTTATATTTTTATGTAATTTTGTTTAATTTCACTGAAAATGCCAAAAAGAGCTTGATACCCCTATGGGTAACAGTGAGAAGAAAAGGAAGCGTCGCTCATTATCGATAGCACAGAAAGTGGAGTTGTTACAGAAGCTTGATCGTGGTGTACCTGTGCGGCATCTTAATGAAAAATATGGTGTGGGAAGTACCACCGTATATGACTTAAAGAAATAGAAAGACAAGTTGTTGAAGTTTTACACTGACAGTGATGACCCAAAAGTAATGAAAAACACAAAAACATTGCATAGGGCAAAAAATGAAGATCTTGACCGCGTGCTGATTGAGTGGATTCGACAACGAAGAAGTGAACGTATGCCACTGACTGGTTTGATGGTCATGAAACAAGCTAAAATATACCATGAACTGAACATTGATGGTGAGTGTGAATATTCAGAAGGTTGGCTGCAGAAATTTAAGAAATGTCATGATATAAAATATCTGAAAATCTGTGGTGAAAAAGCTTCTGCTGATCATGAAGCAGCTGAAAATTACATTGACGAATTTGCCAAAATTATATCTGATGAAAACCTTAGCCCTGAACAAATTTACAATGCTGATGAAACAGCTCTGTACTGGCGCTACGTTCCTAGAAAAACGTTAACAACGGCTGATGAGAGAGCACCAACAGGTGTTAAGGATGCTAAGGACAGGTTAACTGTTCTTGGGTGTGCCAATGCTGCAGGCACACACAAGTTAAAGTTGGCAGTGATTGGAAAAAGCCGACGACCAAGATGTCTGAAAGGTGTACACAATTTACCTGTGCATTATTATGCCAACAAGAAAGCATAGGTAAACAGAGAACTATTTTCTGACTGGTTCAATAACCAGTTTGTACCAGCAGCACGAGCTCATTGCAGGGAAGCTGGACTGGAAGCAAACTGTAAAATTCTATTGTTCCTTGACAACTGCACTGCACATCCTCCTGCTGAACTTCTTGTGAAAAGTAATGTTTTTGGCATTTACTTTCCCCCCAATGTGACGTCTTTAATACAGCCTTGTGACCAAGGAATTTTACGCTCCATGAAGAGCAAATATAAAGATGTTTTTTTGAACTGTATGCTTGATGCAGTCAACAGTGGCATAGGAATCCAAAGCTTCATGAAAGAGTTCAATGTTAAGGATGCCATTTATTCAGTTGCTAATGCTTGGAATGCTGTTGAT